TTATTATGGTTATTATTTTTATGATTATGATTATTATTGTATAATTATGATTATTTTGATTATGATTATTAATGTGATTATTATGATGATGATTATTACTGTTATTATTATGACTTACGAAATGATGTCCTAAACTTGGTTTTCTTTTCTCTTCTGCCCGCCTTTCCCCTCTGTGCCCCTCACCCTACTCCTCCTCCCTCTTCTGCACTTATGACAATCCCAGCCGAGACCCCCAGAATCCTGCTGGAGGGCCGTGGTAGTCACATGATGGGCCCCAAGCTGCTGCTGGCCAACCACTTCAAGGCCGTCATCATCAAACGCTTCCACTACATCACCCGCAACTGGCGCAGCCTCTTCTCCCAGATCATCCTGCCCGCCATCTTTGTGGCCATCGCCATGACGGTGGCCCTGGCCGCCCCCTCGGTGGACGACCTCCCACCGCTGGAACTGAGCAGCACGCAGTACACCAACATCACGCTGCCCAGGGGGAATTATGTCCCTTTTACCAACGAGAGGATGAGCCATAGGTCAGTGCGTGCGTGCATACTACGGGAGGATCAGAAAATGTTAATGATCATGTTAAAAATGCTTGTGATGAAGATAATGTTAATGATGATGATTATGATGATGATGACGATTTTTTTTGTATCGTTGCTCATGATGAGGATAATGTTAATGATGATGATGATTTTTTTTGTTTCCTTAACGGGCCTGGTGAACTCCGCGAAGAAATCTTCGAGCAAGAGCAAGGCTCTTTTTCGGCTCCATTGTCATTATACTCAGGGGCACCTCCACTCGTCCAAATAACTCCATTTGAATTGTCAGAAGCTCTGATGATGATGATGATGATGATGATGAATATAGCACTGAGAAGTCATAGTAACTTGAGTTATGATATTCTATGTGAAAAATAAAACAGTTTAAAAATGATATTATTTTTATTTATGATCATCATTTCAATGGATATTTTTGTGAATATTGTTAGTGGGTGGGAAGCGGGTGCTCTAGTGTTGTTTGCTTCTTCTTTCCTATAAAACATCTATCCTCCTTATCTCTCCTCCTTCTTTTAGTGTTTGATACTCTCTTGTAACACCCCTTATCGTCGGCACTTATAGGCCTTATTGTTTTGCAAGTGCCATAAAACGCTGTGGTTGGTTGGTGGGTGCTCTGATGTGGTTTGTTTGTTTTTTTCTATCAAACATCTATCGTCCTTATCTCCCCTTCTTCTTTTTTATGTTTGTTACTCTCTTGTAACACCTCTAATCTTCTGGCGCTCACATGACCTTATGTAGTTGCGAGTGCCGTAAAACCTTTACTATTAAAACTAAAACACTTACTAAAACTAACGAAAATTGTTATCAGCTTCATCATCATTGTCATCATCACCATTATTATTATGATTATTATTATTATTATTATTATATTATAATTATTTTCTAACAATGACTCATTCCTCAGATCTGTGGTGAACCCAGACGACGCTGACGCTGTGAGGCTCCAGTCTACCCTATCTCTACCGTCGGGCCTGGGCTCTAGCTGTGTGGTTCGAAATCCCGACGTGTGGCATGTTAACAGCTCAGCCGACTACAACCCCGGCTGTCAGTGGCTCTTCTCCCCGGGCCTACACTACCCACTGGACCACCGGGAGAGATACGGCCTCAACGACTTCAACATGTCTCTCAATCCTTTAGGTAAATGTTCAATAACAACTGAAACAACGATTACTTTCTTCAACAACCTTCTTACCTCACTGATATAGAAATTTCCACCATCTTTGATTGTATTACTACAACAACCAACATTATCAAAAGCAATAAGAATGTCTACCATAGACCAACTTAACTGTAGAAAAAAATATTTTTGAAAAAAATGTTTTTTAAATTTGTATACAAACTTCCACCATCATTAAATACATTAACTCATTGGAAATGTGATAAACATATATTCTATGAATGATAGACCATTATGTTAAAAAAATACCGTATTAATCCTAGAATGATGTGATAAACAAACACCATATGAATCATAGACGAGTATGGTAAACAAATGCAGTATGAATCATAAAGGCATGTGTTAAAAAAATACAAACCAGAAGCAGCTGATAGCTCTACATGTTTAGTAGATACAAGAATGTGGCAAAGCCCAGCTCTAGTCTACATGTCCATCTTTTGACATTTTGGTCCTTCTGAAGAAGTTGAAGCAAGCAGCACAAAATAACAACTTCACCATTACTGACTATATAATCTTAATAACAACAACAAAGATATCACCGGCAACTGTACTGCCACATCAACAACAACACCATTACAAGAACGGTTTCCTTTGTATTTCCACAACAACAACAACACCGTCATAAGAACTGTTTCATTTGTATTACCACAATAACAACAACATCATCTCAAGAACTGTTTCCTTTGTATTACCACAATAACAACAACACAACAATATTCGCTCAGTATTACCACAATAACAACAACAACACCATTACAAGAACTCTATCCTTTGTATTTCCACAACAACAACAACACCATAACAAGAACTCTATCCTTTGTATTACCACAATAACAACACAACAATATTCGCTCAGTATTTCCACAATAACAATAACAACACCATAATAAGAACTCTATCCTTTGTATTACCACAATAACAACATTATCACAAGAGCTGCTTCTTTTGTATTACCACAATAACAGCACAACAACTTTCCCTCAGTATTTCCACAATAACAACAACACAACAACCTTCCCTCA